AGGAAAACCCCCAGTCAGAGTCCAAGAGAAGAAAAGGAGGCACAGAAAGAGGAGTAGAGGGTCCAGAGGTCTGGGAGGAGGTAGGATAGAAGATAGGCCCGGTAGGTGGTTCCTCCATCTGAAAGCTGATTTTTGGGGCTTTTAAAGCTGTTTTGTGGCTTTTTAAGGTGTTTTTTGGAGCTTTTATGTTTCTGTTTCTGCATTTAGAGGCTTTTATCCAAAGTGACTCACAAAGAAGACACAATTTTACAGTTATCATCAATAGATGCCCCCCCCCCCTGGCCCAGGGTTCTCCCCCGGTTTTCGCCCTTTTAAAGGAAGTTTTTCCTTGCCTGTGTCGCCTAGTGCTGCTCATGGTGGGAATTGTTGGGTTTCTGTAGTTAACTTCAGAGTAGGTCTGACCTGCTCTGTTTGGAAAGATAACTGTTGTTGTGATGTGGAGCTATAGAAATAAAACTGAATTGAATTGAATTGAATCTTAAACTGTGGTGGCTTAACCCCACAAATCTGTCCTTGAGAAGCATCTTTGCTGGTCCAGCTTCCATCCTGACATAAAGAGCCCGTGTGGTTCTGTGGGTGGGTTTTTCAGCTTTGGCTGGAGCTGCTTATCTTCTCTCTCTCTCTCCTGACGATGGGGCGATCGGCTTTAGCCGTTTAAAACAGGGAAACTCCAAAGGTCGCCTCAGCTTTCCACGCTACTGTTCACGGTCGGTTAAAGTCTGAACCGCCGACCCTTAGACCTCCATTTCCTCTCTCACTGTTCCTGGGAGGTTCATGAGAACGGTGGTAAGGATGAGACAGCGCCCCCCTCTGGCCACTCCGCTGCACTACATCTTCAGCTTGTTGAAATACCCGATCCAAGAATAAAAAAAAACAGAAAATGACTTTTTTTGTTTTGAATTCTTATTTGGCCTTTTAATAAAATATGTAAAAAGAAAAAAAAGAAATACATTTTTAATATTATTTATTACTATGCGATAAGTCCAGATTATTTTTTGTGTATCTTCTGCCCCCTGTTATCAGGTGTATCTGATTGTGTTCAATAGGATTTAGAGCAAAGTTTTTACCATTAAATTATGCAAAAGGGGTCAGATGCAAAACATTTCAGAAACCGTATCAGCTATGACACATTTGGCATTACAGGGCTAAGAAATGTTTACTGTATATATATATATATATTTTTTTTTTTTATATTTATATATATTTAGATTGTACAAGTAGATGTAGCACCGGCAAAACTGAATCATAATAGAGATGATTTTGTTTAATGTTTCTCAGTTTAAACTTAAATTAGGAGCAACATAAATGACAGCAGGAGGAAACCTGAATGACTGGAGACAGAAGTGAAGAACGCTGTAGGTTATTTAATGGAGTGCAGCAATATTTTCCCAGCGTGCTTCTTTATGAAGCACAAAGAGAAATCTCTTTACAATAAGCAACAACAAAAGCAATTCAAATAAAGCATTTTCAACATAACATGCTACATATTTTGGATTCTGGTAAGCGGTCAAATTAGCGACTTTCAAACACTAGATGAGATTTTCTTCATTAATTCTCTTGGAAACCCTTTTTCCTGCAGCACGAAGCGGCCAGTCGACACAAAGCAAACACGGGCACGGCCAGGCTGGGGACTCCGGCCAAAAGGAAGATAATCACATAGATCCACGACGGGTACGGAACCGAGGCCAGAGCCGGAAACCCCTCCTGCAAACAAAAAGCACGATTTTTTAAGAATTGATGACAGTTAGGTTTGAATTTACTCTATTTACTTTCTTCACCATGTGATCAGAAAAAATCTGCAGATAAAGGGTGTAATTATAATGTATAAATAATATAAAAGATAATATAGATAATATAAAAGCAATTAATATAAATATAATAATAATATATTTTATATAATAATATATATATTTATATTATATATATATATATATAT